GGAGACAGGAAAATTTCAGCTGGGTCGATTGAGACAGCTTTGTCCTCTGACTCCTTTCTCCTCTTGCAGACAAAGCAGTTGTCTTTGAAAGGAGACTAGAAAAGCCCATCGTTAAGAAGGAGGGCTAAAATATGCACCCTCTTTGGCAAAGCTCTGGTTATTGGTTCTTCAAATACCCTGAATCAGGCTTCTTTAAGTGACCCCTCGCTTTCTCCTTGGCAGTGAGGGGAGACACCTCCTCACCCATATCCTGCCCTGGCTATGCGGATGCCAGGAGTAGGGGCAGGAGGAGGATGGGCCACAGAGCCCCCTGACCCTCTGGAAACAGACAAGCTCCGCTCAGCGCCCTCAAGAGCCCTGATACCTGATGATTTTTGCAGCCCAGACGCCCCCGGGGCCCCTTTGAGCAGCCTCATAGTTCCCTCGAGCGCGGAAGTATCTGCCTGAATTTTGGTAATTGGCTTCTCTCATGTCCCAGTAGGCTCTCCACAAATCCGAAGCCCCTGTAAGGAGACAAAACAACACCAGTAACATGGGGACATATTGGAGAAGTGGGGGAGTGAGAATTCTCCCCTACTTTTCAGATTCTGACTCTTGACAAAGTGGTCCTTTGAAATCGTAGATTGAGATGCGTATTCCTCACTGTGGATCGGCTCCCGCTCTAACTGTAAGGAGAGCCCTTTACAGCGAGCTGGGTCAGACAGGGTGGGGCTGTGGTGCTCTGGGCTGTCTGATACGGGGTTGGGCGTACTGTGTACAAAGTTGTGACGGTCATACAAGGCATGTGGTAATGGAGAATGATGCTTCAGATGTACGATCAGGACTATGTGAGGGAGGAAGTGAGAGGAGAGGGTTCTCCACTTTTTACAGCTACCACACTCCGTAAGAAAAGCGCAAAAAAAAAAAAAAAAAAGAAAAGCGCAAACTGTGAAATACACTGACCTAAGGGATGAAATACTATGTACAGAAAAACGTTGCAATGGCCCCCCCACAACTCTTTTTTAAAAAACTGTTATACAGGATTTCCCTGGTGGTAAGGGGATGGAGATCCACCTGCCAATGTAGGGGACACGGGTTCGATCTCTGGTCTGGGAGGATTCCACATGCCGCATGTCTCAACTTCTGCGCCCACGCTCTAGAGCCTGCAAGCCACAGCTTCTGAGCCTGTGTGCCTGGAGCCTGTGCTCGGCAACAAGAGAAGCCCCCGCAATGAGAAGCCCGTACTCTGCAATGAAGAGTAGCCCCCGCTCGCTCTAACTAGAGAAAGCCTTCCTGCAGCAGTGAAGGCCCAGGGCAACTAAAATAAAGAAATAAATAATTTTTAAAAACTGATATTCAAATAAAATACGTAAACAAGGACGTACCATATAGTACCTGTGTGTGTGCTCCTCAGTCGTGTCCGACTTTTTGTGACCCTACGGACTGTAGCCCTATGGACTGTAGCCCACCAGGCTCCTCTGTCCATGGGATTTCCCAGGCAAGAATACTGGAGAGGGTTGCCACTTCCTCCTCCAGGGCATCTTCCCGAGCCAGGAATCGAATTTGCATCTCTTGTGTCTCCTGCATTGGCAGGCGGATTCTTTACCACTGAGCCACCTGGGAAGTCCAGCTATATAGCACAGGGGGTTATATTCAATATACTGTAAAACCTATAATGGAAAAGCATCTGAAAAGGAATATATATACACACACACACACACTACTGAATCACTTTGCTGTATACGTGAAACACTATAAATCGATTATACTTCAATAAAAATAAATTAAAAATTTTTAATGGAAATTTTTTTTTTAATCTGGTATTCAGAGAATACAATGAAAAAGAGAATAGCACTTGGGTTCAAAATCAGAAAGACTGAATTTGTCGAATATCAACACAAAAATTACAAAGAATTCAATTGCAAAATTAATAGCATCACCTCCAGTCCTGCATAAGGAGCTTAAATGTCAGCACTCCACTGTAACAATTAAAAAGCTGAACAGATTGAAAATGCAGCAATTCTTCTTGGATCCATAAGAGGGGGAGGACAGAGGGCATAGCATTGCTTTCAAGGCTGGAGAGACGAACAGGTGGACATAGAGAGGGGAGGCCTTTTGGACCAGAAACTCAGGAGCAGAAACTGGTAAGGAAACCCATGCTAGGGGTAGAAAGACCCGAACCAGAATTGACAAGTTTCTGGAGGTTCGGTGGAGACAACTCTGAGAGTAAAACCTCCTGGGGGACCCAGCCATTATTGGGCCCCATAATATTGTTAAGAGTTACCTTCAAGAGCTCAACCAGATTCTCACAGAAACTATTGTTAAAAATTTTTCCAAATAAAAAAAAAATTTCCCTTGGGCTTCTCGCAGGAGGAGAGGAAAAGGAACCATTTTGAAACATGCCAGAGTTCTCTGTTCTCAATAGGCCTCCCTCAGAAAACTCTGTGTTATTAAAATCTAAGTGATCTGGGGAAAGGAAATAACCAGCTCCAGCCCACTCCAGCCATCCTGCCCCAGTTGAAGGATAGAAAAAGCCAGAAACACCTGTGAAGTTCACAGTCTAGAGCCACAGGCTCATCAAAAAGAACTGAGGTCTGGGCTTCCCAGGCAGCACGAGTGGTAAAGAACCCACGTGCCAATGCAGGGGACAGAAGAGGCAGGGGTTCAATCCCTGGGTCAGGAAGATCCCCTGGAGGAGGGCATGGCAACCCACTCCAGCTTTCTTGCCTATTAGAATCCCACGGACAGAGGAGCCTGTGGCTACAGTCTATGGTGTCGCAAAGAATCGGACACGACTGAAGCAACTTAGCACACAGCATCCAGTAATGCTTCCCCAATCTCCAGATGACTAAAGGCCTATTTAGAGCAGTTCCTTCTATCAGGTACATCAAGTCTGGCTCTTAAGAAAAAATTACAAAGCATACCAAAATGCAAACAATGCAGTTAAAAGGGACATGGCAGGCATTGGAACCAGGCCTAGTAAGGATGTTGGAATTACCAGACTGGAAATTTAAAATACCTATGATTAATACTTTAAGATATCAAAAGACAAAGTAGTCAACATGCAAGAATGGATGGGTAATGTAAGCAGGGAGATAGAAATGCTAAGAAAGAAAAAACTAATACTAGAGATGAATAAAACACCATAACAGAAATGAAGACTGCATTCTATTGGCTTATTAGCAGACTAGACACAGTTGAGAAAAGAATCTCCATGACAAAAGATACCTCAATAGAATCCTCAAAAATTAAAGGGCAGAGAATGAAGATTGCCAAAACCAGGACAGAATACACAAGCACCATGGGACAACTACAAAAAGAATAACATATGTGTGTGGGATAACCAGAAGGAAAGAAACAGAGAAAGGAAGACAGGAAATATTTGAAATGATAATGACCGAGAAGTCCCCAAATTAATGTCAGACATCAACCACAGACCCAGGAAGCTCAGAAAACACCAAGCAGAATGAAAAAAAGAAACCCTCAAAACCTCCCCTGCAAACAATCTACACTTGGGCATATACAGAAAATCAAAGATTAAAAAATAAAATTCTGAAAGAAGTCAAATGAAAAAAATAGTTACCTATAGAAGAACAAAGACAAGAATTACATGACTTCTCCTTAGAACTCATGCAAACTAAAGAGAATAGAGTGAAATATTTAGCGCTGAGAGAAAAACCACCAACCTAAAATTCTGTGCCCTGTGAAGTTACACTTCGAAAGTGAAGGAGAAAGAAAGACTTTCTCAAAAAAATTAAGGAAATTTGTTGGCAGTAGACCCATCTTGCTAGAAATGCTAAAAGAAGTTCTTTAGAGAGAAGGAAAATAGTACAGGTCAGAAACTCAGATGTACATAAAAAAGGAAGAGCACTGAAGAAGAAATACTGAAGATAAAACAAAATTAAGGACAACATGTGCAGATCAAAGTATTGCAACAATTGACCACAGAATTTTCCTGCTTTAACAAGTAGCCAATAAACTTCATTTCCCATCAAGAATGGCAGGTCGGGAGCTTCTCTGGTGGTCCAGTGGTGAGGAATCTGCCTGCCAATGCAGGGGACACATTGTCCCCACAAGTACCCCTGGTCCAGGAAGATCCCGCACACCTCAGAGCAACTAAGCCCCTGTGACACAATTACCGAAGCACACGCACCTACAGCCTGCACTCTGCAACAAGAGAAGCCACGGCAATGAAAAAACCTGCACACTGCAGCAGACAGGAGCCCCCCGCCCCTCACCACAGCTAGAGAAAGCCCATGCAGCAACAAAGACCCTTCACAACCAAAATAAGTAAACCAATAAATCTTTAATTAAAAAAGAATGGCAGATTAGGTTTGCTTCCTGGCCCTATCTCAGTCCTAGGGTGGTAGATCAGTGGGAATCTGCACTTTTTTATTGTGTGGATAAGCGTGAGGGCTTGATTTCCGTGAGCTCTGCCTTGAAACCATTGGCCATTTGCTTGGGTACAGGATGGGATCTTCCTTCCAAGCACAGGTCTTCTCTTTCCCAGGCACCCTCTCTCCTTGGAGTAGGGCATGATGTTTATTCAGCTCACCCTTTCCCTGGACATTCCACCCTTGGGGACATACCAAGTTCACAGATAAACTTCAAGACTGAAAAATTTGCCCTTTATGAGTCCCCACAAGTATTCTTGCCCAGGAAACCCCATGGTCAGAGGAACCTGGCAGGCTATAGTCCATGGGGTTGCAAAAGAGTTGGAGATGACTTAGCAACTAAACAGCAAAAACAAGGAGCTCACCCCTTGGAAGTCCTGGCTGCCTTGGAAGTCCTACTCGCTGCCTGCTACCAGCAAGGACAGGCTGGGTTCAAACCATCTTTGACTTGGGGTCTGGAGAAGCCCTTGGTGGGTGCTGAGTCAGACCAGCATGGAAGGAGAAACCCTCCAGCTCTCACCCACATATGGTTTCTCAAAGGAGCATCCACATCTGTGGTGTGTGGCCTCTGCTCAGAGTGAATCCTGGGGTCAGTTGGGTGTGCCCTTCATCCTCCAGTGTTCTTACCTTGCACAGCCTCCTTGAAGAATGAATACCAGCCTTCACCGGTGACTCCCATGATCAAGGTACAGAAAAGAATGCCTATGAAAAGCTTCATTGTGCTGACGTGAAAGAAAGAGAAGGTCAGAGATGAACAACAATAGTATATAAGATAGAGAGATGTTTTGCGATTTTTAATTTCAAAGATAGCTTAGTTCCTAATTCCCATTTACTCTTTTTAGAGTTATTACTGTAGGACAACTTGAAATGGGTTTTAGGAAGAAGCATAAATCATTAATTCTTAGTCCAGATCTCTAGAAGGACTAAGAGGGTTCTACCGGAATTTTATTTGTTCGTGGCCAATCTGTCATCCAATAAAGCAGAATAAAGTAGATTCATAGCATTTCCTGAGGTCCTGCTCTGCCCAGAAGACCCAATAATGAGTAAAAAACACTTCTCCCCAACTGAAATTTATCAGTTATGGGAGAAAAAGCTTTCCAAAGAGAAAAACAACAGAATTACTCCCCAGAAAAGAATCTCACCTGTGTCCTTTCTCCAGCTGAAATTCAGCAGTTGGTATCTCTCCTGGCTTTGGTGTTAGTGGGAAGAGAGGTCTTAAATCCAGTGTGCATCGGTGATGTCTGTCTTGCTCAATTCTTCTGTGTAAACAAATTAGCATATTGAATAATAGTATTTTCCTTATTCTCAAGCAGCTTTTTTCAAATGAGTCATTTAAGACATTTGTGTTCTGGCAGTTTTTCCTAATTGACTTATTCTCTTTTCAGTTGTATTTGAAAAGAAGAGAGTGGTATTTGAAGAATCAAGTGTGGGAGGACACGGGTTCTTCTCCACTTTACTCCCTTCTCATCCCTGTTTGGAAAGGGGATCTCTCCCCTCCCCGGGTTACACATAGTGTATTATGTAATACCAGATTACACATAGGTATTATGCTGTTAAGAGGTGATCAATATGATTAGCAAAGGAAATGTTTGCTTCTCTTGGGGTTTCTGTCTAAGGTACATGAGGACACAGAACAAGCAAGATTTGTCAACTCCACCAGCAGTGATATGAGGTAATGATTAATTATTCTGGGAGAACAGAAGGAACGGCATGAAGTAGGGTTTCTAGGCAGTACCCTTGATACAGATTAAAACAAAAAAAACAAAAAAATCTGTGTGTGTGTGTATACATCCCTTTCATACAAATATACATTGCTTTGTACTCTTTTAACTAAATATATATTGGAGGTCCTCCCTGGGTTTTTTTTAAAACCCTTATTTAAAAAAATAGCTACACAGCATTCCATTGTAGGATGGACCACAATTTATACAATACTGATGGCCATTTCAGATGTTTCTAGTCTTCTGTTAATGCAAATAACCATGAATTTTTGACTCTGTGTGTGTATGTATATATACATATATACATGTATATATGATAAATTTCTAAAAAAGGAATTATGGGGAAAAGTGTAGCTCTTTACATTTATTTATATATGTTGCAAATTGCCTTCTGTCAGAAGCTCTATAAATCTTCACTCCCACCAGAAATGTCCCACAGCATCTCCCAAACAACCCTCTATCAAACTTTTTGGTCTTTGAAATTTTGGTAAATAAAATACAATTCAGTGTAATTTAATTTGCATTTCTATTGTTATGAGTTTGGTTTCACAGTTTCTCCTCTGTATAAGAACCATTTGTATTTTCTAGCAAATGTGAATTCATTTGTTGTATTTTAATATCTGTATTGGTTTGTTGGATTTGTTATCAATTTGTAAGAATTTTATTATATAGAAAAAAGTAGAACTTTATGAGTTACAAACACTTTCCCAGCTTATTATTTACCCTTTGATTATGGTTGCTCATGTTTACCAAAATTTTCTTTATGTTCTTGTCTTTTTTTTAAACTTTTCTTTAGTGTCTTCTGAATTTTGTCCTATAGCTGGAGAGGCTTTCCTTGTTTTGATTTATAAAATAACTTTTCCATGTGTTCTCTATGTATTATATATTTTATTATTTATTTAAAAATATTTAGTACATTTGGAACTTGACCTAACATCATTTGGAAAGTATATTTTCAATTAAATTTTAAGATGGCCACCCAGTTGTTTCAATCCCATTCATTGACTAATCCCTGTTTTACCCATTAGTTTGACAGGCAACCTTTAATGCTAAATTACCATATACACTTGTGTCTAATTCTGAGTTGCAAGAATCAATTTTTCTATGTTTGGGTCAGTACTACCTCGTTCTATTTACCGAGTCTTTATTCAATGCACTAAATGCCTTCATCATTCTTCCTTTTCAGAGGAAGTAGTTGGGATTTACTTTCTATAATTTTTTTAACTTATTTTCGTATCCAGAAGCACAGCTGATTGATTAAACAGTATTTGTGGCTCATGCACCTGTCCCAATGCTCTCCTTGACTGTGGCGATGTTTCAACTGGTGTCTGGTGTGTCCAGGAGTCCCCTTCCACAGTATATTCTCTCTTAAACCCACTCCACTTAGTCCTTCAGGCCACTCTTCACTGCAGCTACTTTGGTGAGATTGGCAAGGATTCCATTCTGCTAATCCAAAGGTCATTCTCTCCACTACGTGCAGCATCTGACATGGCTGATCAATAACTGTGTCCACGGGGATTTGGGAATGCCACACTCTCCTGGCTTCCTTCCATCGACAAAAGCTGTTCCTCTTCAGTGTTTTTGTTGGCTCCTCCGCCTCCAGACTTCTAACCAATGAAGACCCTTTGCAGCACCTTCACCTGTTCTCTTTTCAGCCTTTATTCACATTCTGAGGGAGCTCAGCCAGGCCTTTGAGTATAAGCTCCAAAAGGCCAGGATCTTATCTGTGATCGGTCTTCACACAAAAATCCACTGCTTCAAACAATGCCTGGGACACAACAAGTACTTATTAAATATTTGCTGAATGAACACATGGAAAAACTTTTTTGAATGTTTGAAATAGTTCCTAATTCAAATCACATGTTTAAAAATGATAAGTAGTTCAATACAGCTATAGGATGAATTGAAATCATAGGACATAAGACTGAAAAGATTGGATACACAGACTATCTTGTCTAAAAAAAAACAGTAAATATCGTGAATTGGAGGGAGGAAGAAAAAAGACGTGTGTGTATGCTGCATTCTTCACATTTCATAAAGGGAGCCTCATTATCCAGTTGTTAATATTGGTAAATTTTAAAATAGAAATATAATCCTACTATTCAAAGTTAATAATACTTGAAAGAAGTAAGAAATGGAAAGTATAACAAATGGTAGCCTCTGGGAAGTGGGATTTGGGAAGACTCCCCTTTGCATACATTTCTCAGTCATTCTGAAACAATGCATTACTGCTATGATAAAGAAAACAAACAAAAATTGGGGTCAGGCCATGGTGAACTTTCACTCATCCTACGATAGACTGTATCCTCTAGTTATAAATCCTCACCATGCATGTTCACATTGATTGACGTTGCTACCCAGACTCACAGTTGTCAATGACAGGTTCCAGAACATCAGTGACTCACTGGAAAGTGGACCAGATGGGGCAGGATGAGGTGAGTGGAAGTGGGGCAAATGCGGAGAAATGTCTCAATGAGGGATCACATCTCAAACTGCTCTTGTCTCTGAAGGGCTCACAAGCCCTGTACCGGAAATCGTAAGTCTGTCCAGCATCTTGATAAACCTTGCTTGGTCTCCACTCCAGCTTCTTTTTTTTTTTTTTTTTTTTTTTTTGGTTCTTAACTTCCTTTATTTTTTTTTTTAATTTATTTATTTATTTATTTTTTATCACAACCATAGTGTATCTTTTTTTTTTTTTTTACATGTATTCCCCATCCTGGTCCCCCCTCCCACCTCCCTCTCCACCCAATCCCTCTGGGTCTTCCCAGTGCACCAGGCCCGAGCACTTGTCTCATGCACCCAACCTGGGCTGGTGAACTGTTTCACCCTAGATAATATACGTGTTTCAATGCTGTTCTCTTGAAACATCCCACCCTCGCCTTCTCCCAGAGTCCACAAGTCTGTTCTATACATAGGAGTCTCTTTTTCTGTTTTGCACATAGGGTTATTGTTACCATCTTTCTAAATTCCATATATATGTGTTAGTATACTGTAATGGTCTTTATCTTTCAGGCTTACTTCGCTCTGTATAATGGGCTCCAGTTTCATCCATCTCATTAGAACTGATTCAAATGAATTCTTTTTAATGGCTGAGTAATATTCCATGGTGTATATGTACCACAGCTTCCTCATCCATTCATCTGCTGATGGGCATTCTACTCCAGCTTCTTAACACATCTTCCACTTTAGAGGATAGAGATGCGTCCTCTGGCATCGCTCAATCCCTGAGAGGCTCTCCCCCTTCAGCACAGGTGGAGGTCAGCTCTCCCCCTCTGGCCAGAAGAATGGAAGAAAGATAAGGATATATCCTAAGAACTGTCTTATTTCCAAAGCCGGTCATGGGTTTTGCTCTAAGTTTCCATGTCTCTGTTTCACACTGGGATGCTACATGCAGAGGATCATGGTGTTTCCTTCGTCTAAAAAGCAGGAGACGTGGAGCTCTCTACTAGCATCTCTGCGTGCTGGCAGCTCCAACGGTGAGAGATCCAAATGGGGTCAACCAGGACCTTTCTCCCTTCATTCCAACCATTCAGACCTGCTGTCTTGGAGAGAATGTTGCCTCTTATGTTAATTTAGGGAACAAGGTCACACGCAGGCCTTGCTTCCTGGAGCTGGACTGCTGGTACCCAGATTCCATTGTTTCCTAGCTTTTCAAAGTTTTCTTCTCTTGTGGATCCGGCAGAGTCCCAGGAGGAAACAGCCCAAACTGGAATAACTGAGGAGTGTTGCATGAAGGGGCTAATTGCAGAGGCAGGCAGGAGTTTGGGAAAGTGACAGTGCTCGGAGAAGCCCCCTAAGGCAAGCAGTCATGAAACATTTCCACCTGAGGCTTAAAGGGACCAAGGAAGGAGCAGTTAGCCAGAGAGCGTGTTGACAGAAGAGGAGAACAGGTATTGGGGGCGTATTTGAAGAAAAGTCTTACATGAAGATTTTTCTTGGGCGCTCCTCACAAATAATGAATGACAAAGTAGGGAAGAGTAGGAAAGCCTGGGACAGG